CAGTGAGTGCATTTTCTCTATACGCCTCCCTCCCAAAGGGGAGCCGGATTCCATTTCTTGTTATAACTGAAAAACATAATCAACGAGTACTATTACTGTCTGACTCCTCCCTATACATAATTAACTGTAAAACCAATTTATAATGGCACACGATGGCAAGCAAACTCCTAATTCATGCATACAGCCACAGGCTCCATCCTGTTCCTAGTCACGCAAAACAAAAAATGGTATCCGAGATAGAATGGCTGCGCAAACATGCAACTCATGCGAGCCGTCGATCCGCGACAGTCATCGGAACGTGTGGCGTGCATGAAGTGCAGAAGTGGCACACGTACCTCGAGGAGAGAGGGCGGCGAGCCGTGGGGGTGGTCGGCGAGCTGACGGCGGGCCGGCGGGCCGCCCTCGGCGCGGAACTCGTGCATGACCCACTCGGTCTTGGTTCCCCGGGGGGCTCTCCCCCGGTAGAAGACGAGCGTCTTGCGCATCCCGACGACCGCCGCCGCGCCGTCGCCGGTGATGACGCGGTCCTTGCCCGTGGCCTTCCAGTAGCCCGTGTGCGTGGCCCGGTTGGTGCGGTGCCCCGTCGCGTACTTGCGGTCGTGCCGGCTGAAGAAGTACCACTCCTTGCCGCCCACGCAGGCCGCGTCTGCGTGCATGCAACAATGGGTAAGAGACGATGAGCAGGATGACTAAAATCAGCGGTATTGAACTGGAAATAATGATCCTAGGTTGCTGCTCTCGTGGATACTATCAATAAAATTTAATCGGCCGCCTAGCACAAAGGTTTCGTGGTGTAGTTGGTTATCACGTCAGTCTAACACACTGAAGGTCTCCGGTTCGAACCCGGGCGAAGCCATAATTTTTTTTTCCATTTTTCTTTTTTTTGCCCTCCAAAACTGAATGTTTTCCTTCTGCTGGGTGCATGATGGAAGGGATGACAGATCGTACCTGGAAGCTCCCAAGGCTCGCACTTGTTGAGGTCTACGTCGACCATGTCCACCCCGCCGCCGCCGCCGCCACCACCGCCGGAGAGCTTGTGGCAGAGGTAGTCCAGCACGAGCTCGTGGTCCCTCGGGTGGAACCGGAACCCCGGCGGCAGCCTCGCCTCCACCATGCTCATCGAGCTGCTCATTTTTGCTCTCCCAGAGGTCTTGAAACAGACAGGAAAAAAGATTGGATAGATAGAGAAGTACACGACCGAACAAGATGGGGCCGGGGCAGGGGCCGGGGCCGGTATTAATAGAGGAAGAGATCTCGCTAGCCATGGACCCCTTGTGAGCATGTCACCACGAAAGTAGAGCCTGACGCAACGACGATGCCCACTGTAGATGATGCAAATTCTTTTGAACCAGTCGTATGTTACAGAAAATAAAAAAATGGCGCCGGTGATTTTTCATTGCTATTCTGGATATTCCTCGAGTCTCGATCAAACAGTAACAGGTGATATGAGGGCCAGATACTCAGTTTGATGGCCCATGGATCATCGCGTCGATCTATCGGGCCGTCTGCTTCCGTCCCAGCTCTCAGAAACTTCTGATGAAACCGACGGCGACCGCCAATACGGCGACGGCGATCTATCGTGATCCACGGACATGCCAAGCCAGAAATGGGGTGTCCTCAGCCAGAGGGCTAATCCAAAACTGCCAAACTAACACTGTCTTGTGACCTCTGACAAACACCGGACGGCCAGCCGGTCGATCGTTTGCGTGTTCTTGGCCGTCGCTCCCATCCCATGGCAGTGGCAGACAGCCGCTTCAAGCAGAAGACCTTTTGTTACTGTGTTACAGTGACTGGTGAGACCATGTCAAAGACTTTTTTACGTCCGGCAACCGTCGACTGCCTAAAGGATGGATGGATTGGTTGAGTTAAAAGATGGTGACAACCTCCATCGAAAAGAGATGGCGCAAGTTGAAGTTGGTTTTCACTTTCAGTATGCAGTGTCCATCGATCGCCATCGACTTTGCAGCTGAAAGAAAAGAGTTCTTCCAAGTGAACTTGTGCCTTTTCATCCTTGTTTTGGTAAATTCCCGGTGGAGGAGAAGGTGAAGAAATGGTGCCTACTGTTGTCGGCAGTCAGTTGACAAGTCCGTAGTAGTTTTCTCTCTGGGCTGTAGCTATGTGCGCGTCCTTTTCAGTTCAGTGACAAGTGGGTAAAACGATACTGTTTGTTCTTGTCCAACGAATCAGTATTCTGTTTACGTACACACCCTTTTGCCCGATTCAGATTCAGGGGATGCAGCAGGGCACCGTACAGTAGTACAGTGTCATCGATCCCAATCAAGTCTGAACTCTGAACACGAACTCCTGGAAGAAAAGTATATAGACTTTAAAAAAAAGTCTACTCTCTGAACCGAACAAAATCAGCTGCTGCTGTCTGGACTTCCGATCACATGATCAGGAGCGGTAGTACTACAGGTTGTCCACTCTTCTCAGGAGATGAAATTTCCTCAGGAGATAGTCATGTCGGTCCTTTTCAGGGAAGGAGATCTAGTGAGCATTAAGAATGAACCTGCGGCTGCAGGAGGAGATCTAGCTGGGCATCGATCCTGCCATGCCACACAAGTCAAGACCCAGGAGATGCATATGCAAGCAGGAGCATGTGTGATGGATGCACCTGAACAAAAGGCCATGTCAAACACGTAAGGCCAAGATCTCCGCCGGAGGCTGTCGGCGTGGTCACCAGCTCCCCGTAGGCAGATGGTCTAAATTCCTCAAACAATTTCAAGTGGGGAGCGTAGCAGCCATAATGTGGCATGTGCCCAATCAGCGTGCAAGGAAAACGAAGCAGTGAGGCAAGGCAAGCGGACACCTGCACCTCATAGCCAAGAACAAAATAAAAATGAATGAAACAAATACAGCAGCATCTACTAACTTCTGTTTTTTTTAGTTAGTACTCCCTCCGTTCCAAAATATTTGTCTTTCTAGAGATTTCAACAAGTGACTAAATACGGAGCAAAGTGAGTGAATCTACACTCTAAAATATATCTATGTACATCCGTATGTGATAGTCCATTTAAAACTGTAAAAGACAAATATTTAGGAACGGAGGGAGTAGAACGTTGCTTTTAGAGGTGAAATGAGGTGACACTAGCTAGCGCCTCATTTCTAGCTCCCAAAAGGAAAAGAAAAATAGAAGGAAAAAAGACACTATGATCTAGCATCTCATAGATTAGTTTTATCTAGGATTTGCTTAGATGATACAAGGACCATCCCCCGGTTCTCTGCATTTTGCAATCCTGCAAAGATACACTAACCCAATAAGTTAGTTACTCAGGTGATGTCTTAAACGTCCTCGCCTAATGACTTGCGAAAGACAAAATAATGCTATGAGGTACCTAAGAGCATCTTCATCCCGGCGCTCCAAATCTGACTCAAACGCCCGGGCGGACGGTCTGGTCATGAAAATTCGACCCAGACGAGCGCCTCAAATGGGCCTCAAACGCCCGACCCCACAGGCACCCCTCATATTCGGTCCAAATATGGGGCGGATATGGGGTGTCTGGGCGCGTCCGGCACGTCGTATCCGACCCGCATTGGCCCACCCGACCCCACATATATTTCTCTCCATCCGCTTGCCGGACCAAACCCTAGTCACTTCACTCCACTCCACTTCCCTCCGCCACCCAAGCTCCCGTCCATCGATCTCTGTCCTTCTCCGGCATGGCGGGCAGCGGATCTGACTCCGGCTAGTCTGGATCCCGTCGACTGGGGTGTCATCCCGTGCGGGTTGGAAGAGGCAATGGTCGTCCGCATTGCAGTCCGCCGCTCCCGGGAGGACAACGCCCGGTCGACGATAGGATCTGTCCGGCGTGACTCCATAGCGTCGGCGCATCCTGCCCTCGGATCCCGCAGTCCCGGGAGCCTTCAAATCTCCTCTTCCCCATCACCGGTCCAGCGAAGTATGAGTCCCATCGGGACCGGTGTCTCGCCGTGGGAAGGAGAGAATAAGGGCGGCGGAGCCCGAATCGCTGCCGACATGGCGGCGGTGCAGGCGGCACGGGCGGCCGGAGAGGAGGAAGCCATCCGCGCCCGGATTGTAAAGAAGTGGCAGCGGAGGAACACGCGCGCCCTCGCCCAAGAGCAGAATCGGGCGATCTGTGCAATGGCTGGACTGCCACCCAAGGAGGAGAAGGATGACAGCGACGGGTCGGACAGCTCCGGCGACGAGTAGATCCGGTTCGATCCCCTAGTGCATCTTCAACCGGTACTTCTGCGACAAGGACGGCAAGGGCGCCGGGAAAGGCAAGGGCAACCGTAGATGATCTTCTCCACAATAGCCAAAAAATGCCAAATTTTGGTAGTCCGATGGCATGTTAGATGTAGTAGCCGGACGATGTATGTAATGCATCGACGTAGTTGCATGAGTTCGTATGAATTTAAGGTAGGGTAATTGAGGTGTCCGGTTGTGAAAAGGAAAATTTAAGACTTGACCGGTCAGTGTCCGCGGACGCGCCCAGACGCATCCGCGGGCGTTTGAGGAATAGGATTTGCCAAGTCCGGCTATAGATACTCTAACATCGTGGAATGGCACCACATAGTGCGACAAAATGCAACACTTGCAGTAAGACAAAGATTCAGAGTAAGAATAGACCAAATTAACCTAGATCATTCCCAGCAAATGCATCTATGACTGGTTCAGACGTGGTAAATGAGTCTGACTTCTAGCTGCTGTTTTCCTTCTCTCTTTTTTGAGAGAGGAACTTCTAGCTACAGTTAGTAGATAGGCGGTTTGGGTTGCAGTCGAGTCGTGCTTATTTTGCAAACTGAGCAAGTGAGCATAACTCGGTTCCTGTGAGGGAACCTGTCCATCTGGATTTAAGTCCTAGACTTCGTATAGGTGCTTACTTTTTCTAGATTTAATACAGATCGCTTCGACATTATTCCTTCGCTGGAATATGGCATGCCCATCAACTACAAGGTGTTTACGGCAACTTTGGCAATCTCAAAACCTGTCAACTCAATCTGTCGGAGGTGATCATAGGAGTAAAATGTGTGTGCATGTGTACATTCACAAGGTCAGTGTGCTTGCGTGTGTGTGTGTGTGTGTGTGTGTGTGTGTGTGTGTGTGTGTGTGTGTGTGAACGTATGTGTTCTTTCTGTGAAAAAAAGGGTCGTGGTTGTTTTGTCAAGGAAATAGCCCGTTGAACATATTCTAGTAAGAGTTCCCCATACAATTTGTCAGCGGGGGTGCTGCGAATACTGCCAAGACTACCGTCTTCATCTAAAGATCACACTGTTACTAACCCCTGTGCCAAGACACTCCACGATGCATGAGCACATTGCGTGCTATGGTAAACGAACGACCCGACGGAAACTTCCTTCCTCTTCGGTTTCAGATAAGATTGGAAACTTAATTATTTTTTTAGCACACGCCCAAGTGATCTGAGCTGGCATTCGTTGAACCTGACGGAGATTGAGGCTTGGCGCCATCTGTAACTTACCCAGCAGAGCATGTCACACGTGCGCATTTGCCGATGATCCAACTGGTGAGCTAACCCTGCGAAGACGTGAGGACGATTATTCACCGGTTTGACCTTCCTGACTGCATATAAAAATGGGCTTATTCTTTGTGGAGAGGATTCAGCAAACGGCACCTCCATTGTGCACCCGTCAGATAAGGTTGCTGCACAAGCTTTTGTGAGCTGTTTCTTGTAATCCTTGTCGTGTACTCGTGTGGCTCTTCGGTACGGGTGCTTGTCCGAGGTGCTGACTAGGATCGACATATTAAAAAAAAAATGGTTCGGCTCAACAGATTCGTGTAGGACAAAAGAATATCAGTCGCTACCATATCTGAATGAATGCTACCGTGCTACCGATATATCATGAAAAATCACCGCTGTGTGGATAGTGGACGCATCTTGCACTTCAAATGCAATGAATTACGGTTGTGTCGATCATCTGGATGCCGATGTGAAAGATAAACAATTCTTCATGGTCCTATGGGGTCTTGGCACGATGACTTTCGGTTCTAGACTGTCTACTACAAATAGTTTGTCCGGCTCCAGTGAGGGAGTGGGGATAACGGTGGCGAGCCTTCGGCCCGCTTCAATGCTTGTAGTCGTCGCTATGTGGTATACGGATCTGAACGTAATTTTTATTATTTCTGATGTTTGTTGTACTACCATATTTAAAGATGGATAGATCGAAAGTTTTGTCAGAAGAAAAAAAACGCGTCGGTTCGCATCTCCCCCACATTTCTGTAGGATGAAAAATGGGGTGTGTTCTTTCCCCACGGGAATGCTGGTTTTTTTAAGAATGGGCATGTCTTGATTGCGTGTAATT